CAGTAATCTGGGCCCCCATCTGCTGGTCAGCTTGAGAACTCCCGAAGTTAATTTAACTGTGTCTTTAATTTCTGCTATTACTTAATGTAGGCACCCATTCCCGCTTGCACAACACTGCACATTTTATATGCTTTACAATAATATTTGTAATGTGTCCCCACAAAATCAAATCTTGAATTTTATCTTTGCAATTATCTAAATTAGGCACCATAACTTTCTCTAAAATACAGTGGAAAAAACAATTAACTTGAGACAACCTTATTTATGCCATTTTTTTAGGATTTAGAGAGCCTATGAAGCAGACTCATTTGAAGAAAAATGTCTCTTGAATTACTAAATATCTCTTACTTGTTATGATTTTTGTTTTAAGTTTCATTCTGTAAGAGGAAATTGCTTCTGATAGCCTGACTACATGATCTCCAAGGCGCCTATCAGTTCTAAAATTCTGCAGTTCTATGAAAATAGATTGATGAAGAATATGCCCAAGGAAGATTTTATTGCAAAATCACTTCTGTCTGACTCAGGCCCTAAAACTGAGGGTTTGAACTAAGGATATTTTAAAGCCAAATAAGAACACTTCTGCATTATTCATAAGCCAATTAACTAGATAAAGGCAGAAACATTTCTCCAAAGACGTTGATGATATGTGTTCTTAAAATAGCCTTGCCTTTGTTTTCTTTTTCCTTTCTTTTCCCTTTTATTTTTTCTTATAATTATATTATTTGGGATGATTCAAATATCTTCTTCCTGACACATTAAAGCTTCAGCCTCTTGTTACTTCTTTGACACTGTTTTAACATACTCTTAAATGGATTTCATACTTCATCTGCAATAAGCCATATTGTTTCAATTAGACCTAACATCCACATTCAAGAAAAATAAAAAGATATTTACTTGGATTTAGTTGAAATTTTTTTTACCTGCTTCTCTATTCTAGATAAAACATATTTCTAAAGAAAATCAAACTGCTTACTCTCATAATATTAACAAACTAGATCAATCTTGGGAAAACAGGTAAGAAAATGTCACCAGGAAACTTTTATCAAAACAGTAAATGGTTAGTCCTGGAAGAAGAGATGTAACCATTCAAAATATGTTTTTACTATACTCCAGGCTTAAATTTCCCTAAGGCAAAGAAATTTTGTTTAACAAAGAAGGCCTATATTATGCAATCCATACAAATTCAATAAGCAAGACTCAGCTTTAAGTCACCAAATGTTCTTACACTATTCTATGTACTCTATTCTGGCTGACATAATCTCTGACAGAATGCTCTGAATTTATAGAGCATTCAAACGAGATCCAGTCTCTCCCATTTTTAAAAGCACACACACACACACACACACACACACACACACACACACCCTGAATTTCACATTCACAGTTAGTTGCTATGTCTCCTCTCACCTTCACAGTCCATGTTGGAAAAAACCTGCCAGTCCAATAAATGTTGCCCCCAGCCTTATATCTCACATTTGTGCCTCAACCCACTGCAGTCTACTGTTGATCCCCCTTCTCAGGTGAAAACGCTCTTCCTAAAGCTTTCCACATTGCCAAAAGCTAGTGGAATTCTTTAGTTAACATCTCAAGTTAAATGTTTCATGACATCTTAAACTGATTAACTAACAAGCTCCTATAAGCACCGCTATCCACGGCTTCCTTTCTGTAGTCCCATATTTTAATTGCTCCTGGAGAACATCCTTGATACATAATTCTTCCTAGCCCACATAGCCAGTTAGCAGGTTCTGCTGGTTCCACCTCCAAATGACTCATGTGCATCATTGTTTTCAATCTCTCCTGCCTTCCACTAAGATGACCCACTATTACCTCTCACCCAGGCAATCCTAGCAGAATTAAGGTTTTAAGTAGACAATATGTTATTCAGAAATTGGGTGTTTCAGTCTCTAGAAATAGAGACTGGGCATCACAGTTGCCTAAACAGCACAGCATTTCAGCCCTCCTATTCTAGAATTCCTAAGGTCAGCAATCCAAGCATGGCATGGCAACTTCCCTTTCATCAGTGACCCAGACCCTACTTAGAAGTGGCTTCCATCTCAAAGTGTTCCTCATGAACTAAGATAGCTGCTGAGGTTAAGGCTTAAAACTTAATAAAGGAGAAATAGACAAAGAATGGCCTGTGGCAGCTCTCTGTTTACCATAAAAAGTCTTTCTAGGAGTCCTGCAAACCAGCTTTCTCTTACATATCTTTGGCAACCACTAGCTGCAAAAGAGGCGGGACAGTGTTATCTTTCAGCTGGTTCTGCTACTAAGGAAGAAAGTGAGAATGGATCTTGCATAGCAATATACGGAGAATAATTTAATTCTCAGGAGGAAATCAAGAAGGTAAAAGTGTGCATGTAGCTTTGTGAGCTAAGAATCACATACCCCAGTCTGTCTCCCCTGATAGTAAGCTTAGAGAAAAACAGGGTGTATTTCTCTGTTACAATTATATCCAGACATTTAGTTCAATGTCTTCTACTTAGTAAACAATCAACATATGCTGAATGAATAAATAAAATAACTAATGAAGGAAGAATGGGTAACTGAGTACTTGTGCTCTTCCATCACTCAGCATCACTTAGAGTTTACTTGATGTTTTAACGCAGTACAAGAGGCATCAGTGCTACTTAGTATTTCTGGAGCTCTGTGTCTGGAAACATGGTAAGATTGTATATCCATCATTTCTTGTGTCTGGGTGAAGCCACATGATTGTGGCCGATAAGCAGGAGCAAAAGTGACATGTGTATCTTTTTGGGCATCAAAAGAGGGATATAGCCGCCAACAGGAGATCTGCTGGAGCTTTCATTTCTACTGCCACACCAACCAACAATGTCTAAGCTGGGGGTTTCTCCATTAGCCTGGGACTCTGAGAAAGGTGACATGGAGCAGATGACCTGCAGTAAATGGGGTCAATATCATATCCCCTGGATTCTCAGACTTACTTTCCTTATCATACAAATGCAAACTCTTAAGGTAGTCGACTGAGGAGACATTTCACTTGCTATGAGCACATTAAATTTAAGTTTTAGATCCATAATCAATTTGACTTCTGAAACAGCCAAATTTTAAAAGTCAAGGTAAAAATAATCAGTTTTATATAACTATCATAATACACAAATCCAGTGTGAATAAAAATAGAATACTTAGGGCAAAATATAATTTCAAGAAAATCCATTGCCTTAATATTTTAAAGAATCTAGAAATAATTTTTCTTAATTGTAAGTGGTTACATTTGAATCAGGGTGACTAATAGCATTATCACAAGTGGTAAAATTAAAAGAGTTCTTCTTTAATCCCTTTTGCTACACATATAAATTAGTCATGTGTAATATGCCTTCACATGTAATTGTATAACATAAATATTAAGTAATGCAATATAATAAAAATATGCATGCTTTTAAAAGACAAAAATCTTACTGTGGTAGCTTTAAAGTATACAAATCTGGCCAATTGATTTTATTTCTTATTTTTTAAATCAATAATTAAATGAAGATTTTGAAAATTGATTAAAAGCTATAATATCTTTTTACTCTGAAATTTTGTGGACCATAAAAATTAAATGTAACTTGGTTAATACCAAACAGTATTCTTTTTCACACATAGTGGAAGTGAAGACTCTGTTCTAAAATATCAGAAAATCGTTAAAAAGCAATATTTAGTTTCTTTCAAATGGGGAAGTTTTAGGTGCTTTTAACTATTTTTTCCCAACATACAATTTTTTGGTTATTTGGTTATATGACTTGGATCCTCTGCATGGTAATAATTCTAAATGGACACTTGAGATGTGCTTGAGATACAGTACCCTTTGCTAGATGAGCTGACTATTCTCTATGAAAATGAAAAAGATGTTAGGTTGATGTCTCTTGCTTCAAATGAGTAATAGATAAATTAACTACCCAGGCAAGAAAAGTAAATGAAAATAATTGGGTATCTCTTTTCTTGTAATTTCAACTTATAACATCTCTATAGATAGTGTCATCTGAATGCAGATTGAAGCTAAACTTGTTAAAGGTTCTGAAGTTCAGAGTTTATATACAATTTTGTTCTCCAGTATATTTCTAAATTTCGTGAATAACTTAAGAGGCCTACTAACATCACTTTCCTAACAAAAGCAGAGAAAAACCTAAAAGAGTTTAATGAGGCAATGTAGGCAGTAAAGGGATAACACTGAAAATTAAGATATAAATATAAAAGATTTTTAGATATTTTCCAGCATGTTTATTTGATCCTAGGACACTGAATGTTCACATAATGTTGAAGATTATAGACTGAATCTTCTATATAATAATTCCAGAAAAAACAAGAATCAAACATTGTCAGATCAGCCCACTGGCAATTCCAATACTTAGGTATACAAACCTCATTTACTTTTACTTTAAGACTGGTCTTTCTCTTGAATTAAATGATGATGTAATTTGAATAAGGCACCCAAATCATCACCATTCTATTTCACATGATATGTCTTTGTAAAGGATCAAAATGAGTCAACAATGACACAATGCCAGGAAGGTTATTTGGTCCAGAAATCATATGCTCAAGCAGACCATGAAGAAAAAGATTGTAGGTATGGCATATGCTTGACAAGCCATGGAATACCAGCTGGGCTCTGCTTCCTCCAGGAAGCTCTAGCTGGGTGGTGGTATGGCATCCTTCCAATGGCAACAGTTTCCTTTAGGCCACCACAGAGTCCAAAAATTTGGGCCCCTCCTGGTTCATTAGATCCACACAGTCATCAAGCAGACACATGTTGTGAGTAGAAGCTGAGGGTGGGCACAGCCTGATGTTACGCCACAGGCTAGCTCTTTGTTGTCTTTTAAATCTACCCATTGCCACAGCCAGTTTGCAGATTCCTGGTCACTCTGACTTGAACTTTGTTTTTGATGACAAAATATTTGGTTCCACAACTATTCAGAGTCCACCCTGTGTCTCTTTTGATGTTAGGTAACTTAAATCTATTTTCTTATTTCCTTCCTTACCCTCTTTAAAATAACAAGAAAAACTTAATGGAACATTGAATTTTCTCTATTGCAAATTCTTAGGGTTTCTGTCTGAAGAGATTTGAAATACAACATGAAATGATGTACTCACATCCCTCCCTACCACCTCCAAATAACTGAATTACATAAATAAAACATTATAGGAAGAGTGCTTTGCTACAATTTATGGGAAGTAAATTTAAAAAGAGCTGGCTCATTGTAGGAAAATTCAACTTATCTTTTCCCGATCCTTTTATTTAACACAGGGAGAGAAATTTATGGCAGTTTAAAAAAATCTATTACTGTTTCTCATAACTGAATCCATTATTTTTCTCCATGATCCATCAGGTAAAAACAAGAATAATAGATTGCTTTGACGGAAACTTGAACATAAATGTCCCCAAGAATCAAACACAGTAAGTTAAACGGGTTTCAGGTAGTATTAAAACAGGAAAAGATAACCTTCTTTTCATATTTCAAAATCAGATATTACTAAAAAATTTATTATTATTTGCTACTAAAAGGAAACAAACCATATAGCAGCTGAATTTGCACATTGAAATGGGAATATTTCTATTCACTTCTATATGTGCCCAAGAAAAATTAAACATGAAGAAATGATTCCAAAAACAGGAACTATTTTCTTTTCATTTTTGCTAACTGGTTTTTCATAATTTACTCCTTGATTTCATTTGGCTAGATGACTTTAAATAAATAAGTGAAGTTGTTACATACACAATCAACGAATTTAAAAGATTAGTTTTGCTCTTATCTTAGAAATAGTTTCTGTTCATAAAGGAATTAAGGGGTTATATAATCTTTAGCTTCACATGACCCATTTTATTCCAAGGTCGTCAAAGAAGTTTGGGTGTATATGCACACATCTGCCTGGAATAACACACACACACACACACACACACACACACACACACACGTATACATTTAGAGAGAGAGCAAAGACGGAGATGAGGTAATGATGATAGATGGGTGGATAGATAGATAATTCTAACAGTTAATTCATCTCAGGAAATTTTCTCCTTAATGAACACCTCTCCAGCGTCTCATATTCTCTACTTTTATTCAGATAAACCAACCTCCCAACTTATCTCCGAGGAAGGTCACCACATTCCCAGCTTCAGTGTTAGAACTTATTCTAATCCAATCAGCACATAGCATTCACATTAAGTCTATTATTGGTCCATGCCTGGGCACAGTTTGCCTGAACACAAAAATGAAAATAATTTTTAATCCAAGCTGGGGATGGAGATTTCCCATTTTCTCCTGCTAGATGAGAAGAGAATGAAGAACCTCAGTTTTGCCATTGATAGCCAGCTGTTACCCTGCGAAGGAGGGCAATGCTGATGCCAGAGGGAGGCTTGGAAAAGACGTGGGTCTTTGTTGACATCATTGAACTGCTAATGATAATGAGCCTGGAGCCCTCCCTACTTCCTATCTCCCAGTTAAAAGAGTTTACAAATTTAGTTCTTATTTAATCTACTCTGAATTTGAGTTTCTGTGACTGTTCAGATAGGCACCTCTCCTTTAAAGAAAGATAAGAGAATATACAATATCCTCTTTTCTCATGGCTTGTTTCGTTCCTATTGCTTTACCCTGGAAGATCTTTGAAGATATATTTGAGTTTGAAACTGCTTTGAAAAAGTCTACCTAGTCATCTAATGATAGAGAGAATTTAATACATCCCATTGCTTAAAAAAAGCAATACTTTTGCTACAAAGGTTAATGCAAATTTAAGGTGAGTAAAAACCCTCTTATCCTACCAGGCCAAAAAAAAAATTTCATAACCAAGTTCAGATATTATTCCTAGCCTCTAGTTCTGAAATAGAGTTTGTCCTATTTTGTAGTCCATTTAAAACTCTTGTCTGTATGCCAAAGGGTACTTCTTTTTCTTTATTAATTACTCAGATGTCTAGGCCATAGCAATCCTACTGTTCTCTCATTTCTCAGACTTTGCCGACTATTAGATGTTTCTCACATTTCCATAGATAATAACTCATCAGCTTTACAACCTGATTCTCAACATTAAGAGATTAAAACTAATGTATATGACTCTCAGATGACACATACTGAGATATAGAAAAATTCCATCATTTCCTTCTGCAAAATGAAAAAGATTTTAATTCATTTTCTCAACAGCTGCATCTTTTTTTATGCATAGAAAAAAAAACCGTGCAATTACTCCAAGTACAATCAAGTCATTTAACATGGCTTTACCATCATTGTAGTTACAGGATATTTTAAAAGAGAAAAAAAAAATCTCAAAGCACAGGTCCTGCTGTGCAGCAAAGCAATCAAATTCTTTCATAATAACAGCCTGATGGGATTCAGCAATCTGAGGAATAATGAATAACCACTCTAATCAGTAAACAGGAAAATGCTACAACAGTCACTGAGTAAAACCTGACTATCATCTGTTGATTCTCTTGATCGGCATTTCAAACAATAAATAGAAATGTAAGTATCTCTTAAAAAGAAAACTAACTTTGTTTAGCATGCTTAATTTTACCAGGCAGTGAGAAAATTATATATCATCTTGACTGTCCTACAGTGTTGCCCAGTCAATAAAATGCACAAATAATCTTTTATATAATACATGGCCAACTTTATCCCATCACTTCAATTTGTCAAGATAAACTGATTTTGCAGTTGGTTGATAATTTTGTGTGAATTATTTGAATTTGTTTTGCTACTTCATTATTTGATATTCTTCTCCAGTGTTCATCTTATAAAGTTATTTGCATCTGAATACGAAGATTCTGTTTCAAAATAGTCCTCAAGTTTCCAATGCAATGTCTCAAATGTAGGTCGTTCCTTAGGCTCTGCATTCCAGCACTCCAACATGATGTTGTAAAACTTCTGTGGACAGTTGGATGGTTGCGGAAGTCTGTAGTTTTGAGCCAGCACCTGAATTACCTGGGCACCTGTCATACCTAGAAAATACAGAATGGAACCAACAAAAAACGAGCTAAAGATCAGAGTCTTAAACTTATAGCCACTTATATTCTAGGTTACTAAGTAAGTCAATTTCCTTGACAAAGCTTTGAGGTCTGCCATCCCCTTCCTAGGTTAAACAGATTAAACTAAATCCTGCAGCAAGTGATGTCTGTAAGACTGCAATTCAATAGCAAAGGAGAGGGAAGCAATAAACCACCTCATTAATGCAAATTACCATCATCAAATTTTATCTATCAAGCTCCCGCAGATACATGGTATGGTCAGCCTCATAAGTCTGCCCTCTAAGTCTGGGCAAAGCAGTTAAAGTCACACCTAAGTAAGTGACCTGCAGCAGAAAGGCCCACTTCAGAATTAATTACTCACCACTATAAGGCATTTTGCCATAAGTAATGATTTCATAAAGAAGGATTCCAAATGACCACACATCGGACTTAATGCTGAATTTATTAGTACGAATGGCTTCGGGTGCAGTCCACTTCACCGGCAGTTTTATTTCGTGTTTGGATTCATAGATGTCTTCATTGTCTACCTGTTAATGCATTAAGGAATCAAGCCAAGGCAGGAGGGCGGGCAGGTGGGGAAAAAAAAAATAATAATTTTTTTTAAAAAGGAATCAAGCCAAGTTAAAGCAATTTTTTTTGTTACCCTCATTAATCTATAATCTGCTTCACATTAAAATTTAGAGAGAAAAGATTCAAAAATCAGCTTAGATCAGTTGACAATTACAGTAGCAAATTCTGAATCTGGCATACAAGACTGTTAAATATGTGGGAAGTCATTAGTAAAATATTATTTGAGAGCCTACTATGTGTCACGAATAGCACTGAAAGAAATATTCTACTACATTTGGATAATGAATACATGATGATTCTGGCTTCACATCTGGTCTTGAACAAAAAAAAAAAAGGAAGCAAAGTCTATTGTCACTGACTTTGATAATTACTGTATAACGACTTGCTAATAATGAAAAGTAGGATCCAAGTGATTAAAATTAATCTATCAACTCACTGGGGTACTAATTAATTTACAAAAAGAAAAAAATGATGAATTCATAAAGATTAAAAAGGAATCATTATTTGTTGCTTCATGCCCTTACACCCATATTTTTAGGGTACAATATGGAAATTTAAAACTAATTTAAGAGAAAAACACTTAATATAATGTCTCCTATATATTATCTTTCAGACTGAGATAAAAATGAAGGAATTTTAAAGCCAATGATTGCTGAAGAATTCTGACAGCATCGAAATTGGTCTGGCACACAGTGAGTAACAGTGGTTAGGATAACACTGTACAAAGTCTGTTGCTTTTGTAAAGGAAATAGAGGCAAACAGAGGTGACTGGTACTAACTGAAAAACAGATCATTAATTCAACTATGAACTTAATTACATACTTTCCAATCTGGTTGGACATTGTTTTCTCTATTTTTTTCTTCTCCTTAGTAAAGAAATAGGAATGTGTAGGTAGTTTGTCTTTAAGATCTTGGACTATTGAACTGGTCTACGGACTACAGAACTTGGAGAAACATTGTTTTAAAGAAGAACAGTGTGTCTATTGGTCTACTAACTGTTAGCCTTTGGGCCTATTACAAAAAGTAAATAAAACAAAATTAAATCCACCTTAAAAACTCTGGCAAGTCCAAAATCTGCTACTTTGTAGATATTATGTTCACCAACGAGGACATTTCTGGCAGCCAGATCTCTGTGAATGTAGTTCTGAGACTCCAGATAGGCCATTCCAGAGGCAACCTGTGCCGCTATGTCTACCTGTTGAGTCAGATGGATTTTTGACCCAGCATCATCTGAGCAATAGGAGAAAGGTAAGAGATTTACTTTAGAGAACATTTGAACTATTAAAATGAATTTTGAGAATTTCATATCAATGAGTTATCAGGGAGATTAAGTAGAATGGCACTGATCTGTTGAGCAAAATATATATATAAACACAACTTAATTTGCTGTGAAAGGTTAATAAGGAAACAATTTTTTCAGAGTCCAAACATATTCCAAGGCCCTCCCTTCCTTGAATGAGTATTACAAGTAACAAGTTATCATACGATCCAAACATGGCTACAATTATCTGAGAGTCTGGCTGTTTTGCCTTTTTTCTTTTTTAAAAAATTTATTTATCTTTTAAGTTCAGGGATACATTTCAAGTTTTGTTATATAGGTAAACTTGTGTCATGGGGGTTTATTGCACAGATTATTTCGTCATCCAGGTATAAAGTCTAGTACCCATTAGTTATTTTTCCTGATCCTCTCCCACCTCCCCACTTTCATCCTCTCATAAGACCAAGTATGTGCTGCTCCCCCTTATGTTGGTGAACACAGTTCCCACTTATCAGTGAGAACCTAGGGGATTTGGTTTTCTGTTCCTGCATTAGTTTGCAAAGGATAATGACCTCCCCCTGCATCCATGTTGCTGCAAAGGACATGATCTCATTTTTTATGGCTGCGTACTATTCCATGGTGTATCCATACTACATTTTCTTTATCCAGTCTACCATTGATGGGCATTTAGGTTAATTCCATGTCTTTATATTGTCTTTGCTGCAATTAACATAATGTGCATGTGTCTTTATGATAAAACAATTTATATTCCTTTGGGCCTATATCCAGTAACAGGATTCCTAGGTCAAATAGTAGTTCTGCTTTTAGATATTTAAGGAATCACTGCACTGTCTTCCACAATGGTTGAACTAATGTATACTCCTACCAAGAGTATATAATCATTCCTTTCTTTCCACAGCCTTGCCAGCATCTGCTATTTTTTGACTTTTTAATAAAGGCCATTCTGGGTGGTGTGAGATAGTATCTCATTGCGGTTTTGATTTGCATTTGTCTAATAATCAGTGCTGCTGAGCTTTTTTTCACATGATTCCAACACCACATGTCACTGACTTATTTCTTCATGGAAATTTTATTTAACTCATACTGAATGTCTTTCAAGTATTGCATACTTTGTTTTAGTCATTGACCCTATAAAACAATATTAACTTTTATGACTGAGCCAATTAAAATTTCTCATTCTTCCATCATATTGTTTTTAAAAACTAGCTCACTAACACAAATGAAGGATTATCCATAGTTATTAAGTATATATATTACATTTGTACCACCAAGCCTGATACATTATTTTATTTCTCTGCCTTAGCCTGTTATTCTTAGAATACGTTGCTCATCTCTCTGGGAATAAGTATACTTTCAATAGGCAAACTTTCTCCTAATGCTCATTCTTTATAACTAAGTATAAAAAAATTTATATAGTACAATCAGTTAGATTATTAGTAGAGGGAGGTCAGTACTATTTTGTGGTGATGACTCATTTGTATTTGTATTTGAGTTACCTATTTTATATTTGTACGTAAAATAATACTGACTCCTTCTACTTTGAAATGGGGTAAGTCATCCGCGGGTAGGATTTAGCTGCCATACTGTTGACAGATGTTTTCATATGCCTGGAGAATTAAAAGAATTTCACATCAACTTAAACTAATATTATTTTTACATAACACTGTCTGAATAAGCTGAATAGTACATAAAGTCCATTAGACTCATGTCAAAAGCTTAGACACAAGTCCTGACTTGAAAGGCAGCTATATGGAGCACAGGGATCAGGAGACCTAGCTTGAAGTTAGAGGACCACACTTTAAATCAAGGCTATGCCTGATATTTCTTTGTGACCTTAGGCAAGCAGCTCAACATTCCTATGACTTAGTTTCCTCATCTGTACAGCAATAATAGTAACTACTTTATGGTATTTGTTGTTAAAATGAGAATTAAAATGCAACAAAACCTGCAACTTTCTAAGCTAGAGATACATATGAATTGCCTATGTGGAAATGACTGAAGGAAGGCAAGCTATGGGTCTGAAACTCAGGGAAGAATATGCAGCAAGAGCTATAGATTTAACAGTCATAAGTTATAACTGGGTGATAAAACAGTAAAAATGGGTGAGATTGCTAGGAAGTGACAGCGAAACACCAATATTGAGGGTGGGCAGAGGAAGATAAACCTACAAGAAAATCGTGAAGAATCAGCCAGAAGAATAAGAGAAGAAAACCACTAGAGAAACTTGTAACAAATCAAAGGTTTTGATAAAGAGAAAATGCCATTACAGTCAAATTCTACAAGTAAGTCCATGAAGAAAAGGACTAAGACATTTGTCAAATATAATAACAGAGTCTCTGGTGATCTTGGAGATAGGAAGACGAATTTGACTGGAGATCAGGTATAAGGATTTGGGGGCTAAATGGGAGATGAGGACATGGAGACAGAATGAGGAGGTGGCAAATTCCAAAACCCTAATCAAGAGAGAAGACGAGAAGGTTCTGGTAGAGATAAACATAATGCAATAAGAAAGCAATTATCATAAAATTTGGGACAGTGAGGGGTTTTAATTGATAAACTATTCAGGGGGGTTCTGGGGTGCTGGCCGCATTCTAATGCTTGCTTGGGTCAGTGACTGAATGGTTGCTTATTTGTTTGCTTTATAATTACATGTTAAATTATAGTGTATGATTATGTGTTTTCTACATATATACTACTTTTTAATAAAAATGAAATAAACAGGGTCAAATGAATTTTTCAGGGGAAAGACTTAAGCAATGTGTATGCGTGTGTGTGTTTGTACATATATTTATTTTTTTAAGGCAAATAGCATATCTCAGTAAGATGTGAGGTGAAACTAACTGCTTACCAATTCTTTTGTCCTTTCTTTTTTCCCTGGGCACACACAGAAAACTACATTTCCCATCTTCCCTTTTAGTTAAGTTGAGCCCTGTCACTAGTTCTGGGCAATGCACTATGTGCAGAAATGATGTACATCACTTATAAGCCTGGCTGTTAAAATCTCCCACATCTTTATGGCTAGAGGGATGCATTTCAAAATGGTAGAGTCACATGAGTCTAAATCCCTGTGTTACCCTTTAGAGAAAGCCACCTAGCAGAGCAGTCTGGCCCATATCAAAAAAAATGTCTATTGTTATTAAGTCATAGAGAGTTTTGAATTCTATGTTATAGCAGCTGATATTATTCACTCTAAAACAAGACGTGAGCATGAATATAAATTATGACTTAGTATGCAGCAAAATGGCAAAACATTGCTGCAATGATGACCAAAATAGCTAGGCCTTTTGATATCAAATTCACTCTATGAGAAAAGAAATGTATGGAAATTAAGACAAGCTGGTTACTAACAGTAAGTTACATGGTATCTTCTAAATTGATTCCCAGCTATTTGTACCTCCTTATATTCAAGCCCTTGTGATAGCCTCTTCTATTGAGTGTGGCCTGGACCTAGTCACTCATTCAACAACAGAATATGGCAGAAATAGTGGGGTATCACTTCAAAGATTATAGTATAAGAGACTGTGACTTTGCCTTACAGATAATCTCCACCCTGTTGTCCTCTCGCTTGCTCACTCTAATAAAGCAAGATGCTATGTTGCAAGCTGCCCAATGGAAAGGTCCCTGTAGCAAGAAGCAAAGGGCATCTTGCAATCAACAACCAGAAAGGAACTGATTTCCTCAGTCCAACAGCCCATGAGGAAACGACTCCTGCCAAGAGTTACATCACTGAGTTTGGAACTGGATTCACCGCCATTAGAGCCTTCTGATGACTGGGTACTTGCCAACACTCCACTGCAGCCTTCTAAGAGGCCCTGAATTAGGAGACCCAGCTAAGCTACATTTAGATTCTAACCACAGAAGCTCTGAATTAATAAACATTTGTTGCTTTAAGCCACTAAGTTTTGTGGCAATATTTTGTGCAGCAATAGACAACTAATACAGATTGATGTTACAGAGATAACATCAGTGCTATGAATATAGTTAAAAGCATGAACTATGAAGCCAAACTTCCGCCTTGGATGAGTTACTTAATCTCTCCATACCTGTTTCTTCAACTGTGAAGTGGGACTCTTTTTGTATATTATTAGTGTATAGGTACGTTTGTGATTTTTACACATTGATTTTGTATTCTGAGACTTTGCTAAAGTTGCTTATCAGCTTAAGAAGATTTTGGGCTGAGATGACGGAGTTTCCTAAATATACATTCACGTTATCTACAAAGAGAGATAATTTGACTTCCTCTCTTCCTATTTGAATACAGTTTATTTGTTTCTCTTGCTTTAATGCCCTGGGTAGAACTTCCAATTCTAGGTTGAATAGGAGTGGTGAGGGAGGCATCCTTGTCTTGTGCCAGTTTCCAATGGGAATGTTTCCAGCTTTTGCCCATTCAGTATGATATTGGCTGTGGGTTTGTCATAAACAACTGTTATTACCTTGAGATAGGTTCCATCAATACTTAGTTGATTGAGTGTTAAAGACCTCTGCAAGGAGAACTACAAACCACTGCTTAAGGAAATAAAATAGGACACGAACAATTGGAAAAACATTCCATGCTCATGGATAGGAAGATTCAATATCATGAAAATGGCCATACTGCCCAAAGTAATTTATAGATTCAATGCTATCCTCATCAAGCTACCATTGACTTTCTACACAGAATTAGAAAAAAACTACTTTAAATTTCACATGGAACAAAAAAATAGCCCATATAGCCAAGATAATCTTAAGCAAAAAGAACAAAGCTGGAGGCATCACACTACCCAACTTCAAACTATACTACAAGGCCACAGTAACCAAACAGCATGGTACTGGTACCAAAATGAATATATAGACAAATGGAACAGAGCAGAGGCCTCAGAAATAACACCACACATCTACAACCATCTGCTTTCAGAAATCTGATAAAAACAAGCAATGGGGAAAGGGTTCCCTATGTAACAAATGGTATTGGGAAAATTAGCTAGCTGTATGCAGAAAACTGAAACTGGACCTCTTCCTTACACCTTATACAAAAATTAACTCAAGATGGATTAAAGACTTAAATGTAAGACATAAAACCACAAAAACCCTAGAAGAAAACCTATGCAATACCATCAGGACATAGGCATGGGCAAAGATTTCATGACTAAAAACACCAAAAGCAATGGCAACAAATGCCAAAATTGACAAATAGGAACTAACTGCACTAAAGAGCTTCTACACAGCAAAAGAAACTATCATCAGAGTGAATATGCAACCTATAGAATGTGAGAAAAATTTTATAATCTATCCATCTGACAAAGGGTTAATATCCAGAATCTACAAGAAACTTAAACAAATTTACATACACAAAAAAAAAACCTCATCAAAAAGTGGGCAAAAGATATGAACAGACACTTTTCAAAAGAAGACATTTCTGTAGCCAACAAACATATGAAAAAAAGCTCGTCATCACTGGTCATTAGAGAAATACAAATCAAAACCACAATGAGATACCATCTCATGCCATTTAGAAGGGCAATCATTAAAAAGTCAGGAAACAACAGATGCTGAGAAATAGGAACAGAATTTACACTGTTTTGGGGAGTGTAAATTAGTTCAACCATTGTGGAAGCATGGTGTGGTGATTCCTCAAGGATCTAGAACTAGAAATACCATTTGATCCAGCAATCCCATTACTGGGTATATACCCAAAGGATTATAAATCATTCTACTATAAAGACACATAAACATGCATATTGACTGCAACACTATTGAGGACAGCAAAGATTTGGAACTAACCCAAATGCCCATCAATGTTAGACTGGGTAAAGAAAAAGTGGCAAATATACACCATGGAATACTATGCAGCCATAAAAAAGGATCAGTTCATGTCCTTTGTATAGACATGGATGAAGCTAGAAACCATCATTCTCAGCAAACTAACACAGGAACAGAAAAGCAGACACTGCATGTTCTTACTCATAAGCGGGAGTTGAACAATAAGAACACATGGGCACAGAGAGGGGAACATCACACACTGGGGCCTGTTGGGTGGTGGGAGACAAGAGGAGGGATAGCATTAGGAGAAATATCTAATGTAGATGATGGGTTGATGGGAGCAGCAAACCACCATGGCACATGTATACCTATGTAACAACCCTGCACATTCCATACATGTATCCCAGAACTTAAAGTATAATTTTTTTAAAAATTGGAAAAAAAAGAAAACTGAATGAAAATATTTATAAAAGACTTAGAAATTGCCTGTCACAGAGTAAGTGCTGAAGTGTTTTTTAAAGAGAAAAGGTATACATATGATCCTCTCCTATCACGATCTCATATAGTTCATTTTCAGTCTATCTAATTTAATACTCTGACCAACTATATGAAGTAAATATTGCAATTATTCTCCCCCATTTCATGGGAATTTCTATTACTCAAAGGAATAGGCGGCAAGTTGCCTAATACATATTAGATGTCCTATAACCATTTACTGGGGAAAAAACAAGCCAAAGTAAATGTTTTTAAGATGGAAATGTGTATCCTCTTTAAATTGTAATAAGATGTATCTGTCATTAATTACCATCAATACTAAAGTTTTTTGACAGGTGTCTCTCATTTTGGATAAATTTATTACAAAAATTATCCAGCCAAGCTTAGAGACTACAAAAATGGTTATATAGAAAAAATATGTATGTTATTTCAACTATCACTTATAACATCTAATCCTATTACAGTGGATAGAAAAAGGTTTGTATTGACAGACATAATGCTGGAGAAAATTGCATAATATGTATTTCCTACTCTGAAGCGTGCAGTAGCCTCGTACTGTCTAAGTAAACCTCAATGCATACTTTTAATACAACCAGCAATGTCAGAACTGATGTGAAGGTTCACAAACCTATGACCATTTACATTTGTAGCAAGAAAATATTTTCAATTACATTCTATTACTCAATAATCTTTCAGCTTAATAACATTCATCATGATGGGCTGCTTAAGAGTGGCACATTCACTTTAAGATCGCTTTCCTGAATGTGCACCCTCTTGATTGGGGAAGGGGCTGTCTGCAGTGAGCACAACTTCATTACTCCTCCTGGCTGCTAAGCATCATCCTTACAAATGAAAGCACTGGTAAACTTGACCATAATGACCTAACCTTGAAGCTGATAGGGTCCATATTTAGCCCTGAGTATAACGCATTATCAAGCAACAAAAATCCTCAATGCCAAAGGAGTTGGCCAAGTACCATGTGGATCTTTTCAAGCTGATACCAAGAGTCTAAAAACAAGTTTGATTCCAAGTCCTAATCTTGTTAGGTTCAAGATGGTCCCAACTTAATCTATTGATTCAATACCTAATTAGTATACTCTATGTGCCAGACACTGTTCTAACTCTGAAACAAACAAAAAATATCTGCCTGGGTGGAGTAATATTCAGAGGATACTAAAAATAAGTTACATAAGTAAGTGATACAGTATTATAAGATGCTTAACAGCCAAGAAGAGAAAATTAAAAGCAGGGGAAGAGGAATACTTGAACAGCCAGTAGAAAGAGATTAAATTTTAAAATTCAGAGAGTGACTAGTGAAGCAATCACCAAGATGAAAACATCTAAGTAGAAATGTTCAGGAAATGAGAAATGAGCATGTGAATAAATGTCAGAACAACAACAACAAAAATTCAGGCAGAGGAAATAACGAGTGAGGCAAAAGCATGCCCAGAGGGTTGGAAAAAATAGCAAAGAGGGCTAGTGTAGCTGATACAGACTGAGCAAGAGGAAAGTTGTAAGAGATCAGGTCAGAGAGGGAATAGAGAGCCAGGCTATGAAGGACTTCATAAGTTACACAGAAATAAGAACCAATGGGAGTCATTGCAGCATTTGAGCTGAGGAAAAGACATGCTCTGATTTACATTTTAACTGTAGCTCTCTAGCTGTTGTGTTGAGAAGAGACTGAAGGAGACAGGAACCAGAAGAGGAAGACCAGTCGGGAGCTACTGCAGAATTCAGGAGAGAGGCGAGGGCAGCCTGGATCAGGGTAGGAGCATTGAGGAGAGGTAAAATTCTCTATATATTTTGAAGGCCAGGCAATGGGATTTTGCTAGCAAGCTACAGATGGAACATGAAAAGTAGAGATGACACCAAAGTATTAGGCCTGAGTGTCGATAAGGTCAAAGAAGGAGAGACTGCAAGAGTAGCAGATTACTGGGGAGAATACAGGGAGATCAGTTTGGGGTATGTCACCTTGAGACGTCTAATAGACATATATAGTAGAAATTAGAGCTGTTCAGAAACAATTATTTTTTTCTCCTTTCAAGCACCTTGAAAGGACAATTGTATTTCCCTACCCTCTTTGACTTGATTTGTTCAAAAGGAAAGGAAACAGAATTACCTCTGTTGCTTCTGGTCAGAAGCTTTGTTGTCAAATACTGGCAAAGAAAATAAACATAGGATACTTCTCTCCCTTTTTTCCCAAATGTATTCCATGTCCCCAGATTCTGTGCCATAGAAAATATTGGTCCGAATTCTGTGCCACAGAAAAGATTGTTCTGTGCATGTACCCCAGAATCTAAAGTGCAATTAAAATATATATATATTTATATATATATAATATATAGTTATATATATAAATATATATGATATATTGTTATATATATAAATATATATTTATAATATATATATTTATAATATATATTTAAATATATAACATATAATATTTATATATTATATATAAATATATACATTTTAATTGCACTTTTTACTCCTGGTCTCAAGCAATCCTGATCTCAAGCGGTCTCCCAAAGTGCTGGGTTACAGGCATGAGCCGTCATAGCTGGCCTGTTCTTGGTTCTTTGTACCCTAATCCCCTACTTAATTTAAGATGGATGCATCTAAGTAGCCAAGCCCAGGTCACAGGCATAGGCTTTAGCTGTAAGGGAGCTTGGAAAGTGAGTAGATGGCCTTTCACCAATCACAGAATATTAATATTTTTCTGCTCTTTTGCTGTTCTGAGGGGACTTTTTGAAATAGGACCTAATGAAGGGAAAAGAGAAACATTGACAAAATCTGATTAGGTACTATTAGATTTCAGTCAGGTAGGCTTTTGTAAGGCTATAAGAATTTAATCATATTTATACCAACCTTTAAAATAAAAATTGTTAACACATTTTTTAAAAAGAAAATATTGGTCCATAACTGATAATGTTCAATTAGTTAGTGTACGAAATAAAGTATCACGCAAAACATCCATTCTTTAATTTCCCACATTACATTCAAGTACTCTATCTGTTGTGAATAATTTTCTCTTCCACTGCACAAATACTTTCCTACCTTTGAGTATACAATATTTAACCTATTAAATAGTAGGTGAACCATTCAATGTTAAGACATTCATTCTCACAGACACACACATAGTAAATATCCTTTGGGTTTCAGAAGGCTTGCTAAATTGACATTTATAGGACTAGCTGAACTAAATTCCTCTTTTTTCCTTTCCTTTTATTAAGTCCTTAGCTTACTTTGGAGATATTCTTGCAGACTTCCATGTCTCATCAACTCTGTGATAATATAAATTGGATCTTCTAAAGTGCAAACAGCGTAAAGCTGGATAAGCTTTGGATGTCTTAGGTTCTTCATCATCTGTGCCTCCCTCAGGAAGTCATTTGGATCCATTGAACCTGAAACAAGAAGAAGGGGAAATCACTTTATGTTACTGAGGCATTCCTATCCTCACAGCAGCCTAGTGGGAATCATCAAGATTGCCTCCTCCTTCTCAGTAGAGTAAGAGCAGCAGTATCACAAATCTTCAGAGTTATCAAGAAGAGAATCAGTTCAGCCAGTGCAACCTAATAACTGGAAGTGTTGGTGCATCAGGAGAATATGGTTTATATGTTATGACCTGTAGGTGAAGAGAGGTTGATTCAGGTCTATATGAAAAATGAAGGAAAAAGGAGAGACTGACAATCTAATTGATAAAACAAGCCATCTTAACACAAAAGGAAAACATTCTATTAACACGAGCACTGGAGGGCACTGAATATTTAAGTACTGCAGCCAGAGCTTTTTGTATCCAGAGAAGACTGACAGCTGCCCTGTCCTTAGTGCCCACTGTGGGAACAGCTGGAAAAAAATCCTAAAACAGCGAGATTCTGCCATATTTTTGTCTTTAATTCTGTAGGAACATAGCGTGTAGGCCAAGTGGAAAACATCCATGACCATCCCCAAAAGTTAATGGAGTTTTTTTCACCTGTTTTACATGCTCAACTTGAAACTGATATTTAATATTTTATCCTGTACTATCTGCTTCCACAATAAGATCCTTAATAGTGTGGCCAAATGGAGGAGAGACAGTATTAAGCCCTATTTAGAAGGGTCTTCTACAATTAAATTGTATTTTAATGGCTCCACTCTGACTCGCTATGCAAGGTGTCAAGTAGTTACCATCAAATAAAATCTAAAAGGAGAAAAGTTATCTGGAGTTTACATTTCATCAGTAACTTTAAAATCTTTTCTTTTAGAATATGATGTTTCAGAGCACTGCTGTAATTAAAGGAATACTGTTATTTTACATCTTAGTATTCACTATGAATAATGCACATTTGGTTTCCATTGATGCTCAAAGAGGCTACTATTTCCTCATCCTCTCCATATTGAAGACTTTACAACCGATATATAAACCCAGCCATGGATAAGCTTTGACATTCTAAGTTGATGCTGTGACTTGTTTATTAATGTGAAGTTAAGATGAGTTAGTTACATGTGACCTGCACATCATTTCACATAAAACATTTAAGCAGTCTACCTTTTGAGAATCCAGAAGTTCAGAACTGGACTGATCAGACTGCATTCTAGACAAATCTCAGCTCTGCCACTAGCTTCCTGTGTGATCTTGAGCAAGTTGTATCAAACCACTCTAAACTTCAGTTTCTTCATTTATAAAATGTGGCTAATATTTTTACTGACACCGTAAGATCATTACCAAGATAATATCAATGCCTGGCATGTATGTATTCGGTGACTTTTGACCATTACTTATGTTATCATTGGTACGCATAGTTTTGGAAAAACCAAACAGACCAGCTGTAAGTATATTTCATAGGCTAAGGACAAAAAGGGGCAAGGACTTAAAGAGAGATAATAGGAGAAAATGGCCGATTTCTCTTTCAATTACATGTTTCTGAGCTCCATCGATTTCATCTCTAACATTGGTTTACTCCACACAACCAAATAGGATGAAAATTTGGAATCACAGTTGCAAAATGGAGCTGGGAATGTGGGACGCCTAAGCCATAATAAAGGACTTTGTTCTTGATTATTTCACCTAGTTTGGCCTATGATCAAATATCAATATGGTGGGGACCCCCACCACTACCACCAAAAAAAGAAGCTTCCGGTGATAGCAGCAATAATGATCACCACACAAAAAATTAAGCTGGGTGCGGTGGTTCGTGCCTGTGATCCCAGCACTTTGGGAGGTCAAGGCACGGGGAATCACCTGAGGTCAGGGGTTAGAGACCAGCCTGGCCAACATAGCGAAACCTCGTCTCTACTAAAAACATAAAAATTTGCCGGGCATGGTGGTGGATGCCTGTAATCCCAGCTACTTGGGAGGCTGAGGCAAGAGAATCACTTGAACCCAGGAGGTGAAGGTTGCAGTGAGCTGAGAGTGTGCCATTGTACTTCAGCCCAAGAAAGAACAAGTCTCCACCTCAAAAAAAAAAAAGAAAGAAAGATAAAGAAAATTATATACACAATATATTTTTATGTTAATGAAATTTCTATGTGTGTGGCCATCAGACTCATGCAATGCAGGACAGTCAAACTCATTCCCAAATCAGACTATGCACAAGAACTGAAATCACAGTAGGTCAGAAGCCTCTGCAGGTGAAGTCTGTATCAGAGCACTCCTTCATGGTCATACGGCTTATGGCTGACCAGCTGCAGAGTAAAGGAAACCCAACCTCAACTCAGCTTGTAATGTAACATTAAATATTAATTTTTGCCTGTCAAAGCTACTGTGGGAGTTCATTTCGAGCTCATCTTTATTGCACAGTAGCCTGCTCAGCAATAAATAGCTGCTAAGATTGATTAATGGCCTCAGTGAAGTGAAGACATTTAACCAATCACTAAACTGTTTGTGGCTATTACACTGTAAATCAATAATAATTATTCCTGTTGGAGTGAAAACTATCATGGGTTTTTTAAATATGAGAACTCTGACTTTTTTTGTTATCTTTTGACTTCCCAAAGGGCTCCCTTAGAGAACAGTGTTAGGGAGGCTAGCTAGCTGCCTCTTCTTAGAAAAGAATTATTAGATTGGACAACAAAGTTTAGCCACAATTATTAACAAGATTGGGATTTAAAAGTATATACACCCAGTAATTGTGAAAATCTAAGGTGCTAGAACAGAATGTCCTCACCTGGAATACTAACATAGCTGAAACTGAACTCCTGCACTAGCAAATTTGTACTTCAGTGGACACATCTGTCAGCAGTCCCATGGAGACTAACAATTATTAAGAACTTGCTGCATATACTTTATGTACATTGACTCCATTTGTCCTCATAAAACCCTAGAAAGTAGGAACTATTATAATTACCACTTCCAGATAAGAAGATTCAAAAAGGTTAAGAAATTGTCCAAAGTCACAGGGGGCAGAGCCAGGTTGAAACACAGGTTTATCTTATATCAAATTTGACACTAGTAACTTGTTAAACCAGAGGAGCCCAACGTTTTCAGTTCATGGAACCCTTAGTGTCTCCATCACTTTTTTCATGATGTCCCCAAGTGAAGATAAAAACCTGACAGTTCTTTTGATTACTGGGTTAAATTCAAACAAGTCAAGAAGTATTTATCCTAACAATTTAACAGCCGTTTGAAAAAGTAACTCAGGTAAATTGAAAGGAAAAGATAGTTTTTCATTTAATTCTTAACCACAAGTGCTTCTAAAATGATATATGCACCCCTGAGGCACTGCACAATTTCTCCAATCTTAGAATCAGATTAAGCACGCTACCCCCATGTTCTGGTGCCTATTGATTTTTGAGTGGATTTTGCATTTGACCATAGCAACTATCAAAAACCCAGCTTCACAAAGATATGATCGACCAAAGGAATGTTGATCTAAGGTTGAAACCATGAACTGCTTCAAGGTAGCAGCTTGTACAGTATTCAGAATGTTGACTTCAAAACTCTTAAATATTCCACAGCACTCCTGTGAATTTACCATGGTGGCCACATTAGCCTTGGCACACAGTATGGGAACCATCATGTTAGTCTATGCTGCTGGCCAACAAATCCGAAGTACGCAAGTTCTGCCACCAGGAGGCTTTCCAAACCTCTAAGAATTCTGGGTTAGGTAAATAATGCAGGTCCCCCAGAAAACTACAATCTAACCTATGTTTATTATTTTTACCTCTGTTATTAAAGGTGCATATAAGGCTACTACAGTAATGTTGCACTTTTATAGACTGTCACTTCCATGAGGTGTGATACAATAATAATAGATGTGGGTACAAATCCCAGCTATACCATTTGCTGACTTTTTCATTATAATGATAATAGCTTTTATCAGTCACTTACTGTGAACCAGGTACTATACAAAACATTTCCACTAATCACTTAATTTATCTTCTTGGTTGGCCTTATCATTATATCTATTTTATAAATGACAAAACTGAAGCATAGAGTTCAAACATTTGCTAAAGATCCAATGCCTAGAAAGTATTTGAAAAGTTACTTAATCTCTCTTTGAAATAGAGGGAATAAAGCCTGGCTGAATAAACACTGATTTCAGTATACTTTTACTTGCCATCACAGGAAAAAGAAAGATGGAAGGGGAAAAAAAGTTCCTACATTTTCAAATACAAGGTTCTTTAGATGGACCATTTTGCCTTTTAACCGTACAAAATTTCTACTTTTAAAAATAGTTGTTCCCTGAAGAGTATCAAGATTCCTTCTGATTTTTTAAAAATATTTTCAGTTAAGTCAGTATTTGTTAACTAAGACTAGGAACAAAATAGGAAGAAGGACGTTAGAAGACTGAATTCTAACTCCAGAGAAGAGATGAGTTGTCAGGCTCTTCAATCAGCAATATTTTAAGACTCAACTGATGTTGAGGAAGTGTGCTCTTGTTTTTAGATTGTAAAGCCTTAGTCATAGGTTGGGATCACCCGGGTTAGAGAGACTGAGCACAACACCTGCTTGCTGCTAGCATTAGCCACCCCATGACCTTTTAGGCATTTACAGTGTTAAACTGAGCTCATAAAAATCAGCATATGCCATTTAACCTTTATTATTCTCGCACCTGGTTTTAATGTCTTCACTGCTACTGGAGTGGTATTGTTCCACAGACCTTCCCATACTTCACCAAACTGACCAGATCCCAATCGCTTCAGAAGCTGTATGGAGTTGCGGTCTATCTCCCACTGGTCCACAGTTTTGTAAGACAAATCAAATGGAGCTGGGACCTGGATCTGTTTCACAGAATAATAAGAACAATTGTTAATTTTAAAAAAAATGTAGATTTAATATTATTTTGTTGAATGGTCTAGGTACTTTTAAAGAAAACATTTTTTAAAACAGAACATTGTAAACAGTCTTCTAATTACTTCAAAACCAAAAAACAATGGTGGGAGAATCTGCATTGTTAGCTCTTCAAATTAATCTTCCACAACTTGGGAAGTCAGGCACCTCGTTGTCCATCTGTGTGATCCCATACCTAACGCCTTCCTCACTCAAGTCTGGAATGACTTCTCTCTACCCCTTTGCCTAGCTAAATCCTCTCAGTTTCAAGGCCCAGTTGAAGTTCCATCTCACCCACAAATCCTTCCCAAACCCTTTGGCTACAGTATATATTATACGTATCATCTCTTTTTGCATAATTAAATGTTTTATATATTTCAAACTCATTTTATCATTTCTTTATTTGTTCATTAATTTATTTACTCATTCATTTAGTAAGTAAAATTGTTTTAAGCATTAACTAGGTACTTTTCTATAAACAAAACAAGCAAGACCCCTGCCCTCCTAGAACTCATAGTCTAGTTTACCACCTGCCCCATGGTCTCTGTTGCAGCTTCTAAACTCTGCTGTTATGGCACAAAAGAATCCAAAGAAAACTCGTCTATGAATGAGCATCTGTGCAAATAAAACTTATTTCTAAAAACAAGCATAGGTCAGTGTGAGCTCATGGGCCATGGTTTGTCTATACCTGCCCTCAGGTAATAAAATTGTCATTTTATTAGCCACCGCATGAAGTGAAGCAGCCCAGTCGGGTTGCTTCCTTTTTTCCTCTAGATATCTGACAAATACTCAGATATCTGGAGGAAAAAAAATTAACCTCAATAAACAAACACAGCTTGAAAGCATTTTCACCTTTAAGCATGGTTTCCCCAGCTTGACACACAGGCCATCACTTGTCTTGGTGTAGTGGCTCACAAACTCGTTCAGTGTTGAAAAGGTTCTTCTCCGGGTGAGAAAAAAGCCCCCTTCATCCAGTCTTTTGATTCTGTAGTGTTTTACAACTCCTCCATCTAAAACTGGGACCCAAAATAATTCCTGTTAATAAACTTCTTGCTAAAGCCAAGCAGATTTATTTACTTTGTGGTGACATTTTCAATGCATTAAATGAAATCTATATAAAATTCTATGTATTTCTCAACTTCGTGTCAGAAGACTTAAGAAAGTTTACAAACAATACAGAACAAAAGAGCGGGTGTGAGAATTGGGAAATAATACTGAAGGAAATGTAAAAACAAAGGGGTGAGGCCAGCACTAAAAGAATCCATGATTCGAAGTCTAATATATGTGATTAAAACAAGCCATAAAATTGACTCTATCACTCTAGCAATGCAGAGAAGAAAATCTTACCATTTGGGGATTCACAATGTCCATAAGATAAAATCATGAAAGGTTTTTAGGAACAGTTCAACTCTTCCTGGTGCAGAGACCAGGGAGAAATTTCTCCCATGAAACCCTACAATGTGGTGATGGAAATAAACAGTATGCTCAATACCACCTTATAATAATGCATGGAATTCCACAGGACTGTTCATTATACTGTACCTCAATGCAGGTTGGTAACAGAATGTCCTAACACAGTTCAAGAGAATCAATTCCACAGAGTTTAAACTGATTCAGTCCACATATGACACATTCCAGCAGTATTGCTCACTCCAAGAGTAGACTGAATCACTTTTACCTAGTTTGGCTTGCAGTGGATATTTTGTTACTCTTGCCACCCACCTCCCACTGGCCCTTCTTCTGTTAACAGCACCCCCAATTTTCCTCAGGAATTTTTGCTTTTCTAAAAACATGTGGTCCAGAGGGACCTGGTAGCTACCTGGAGCTGAAGAAGACAGAATCAGTGCAATAAGAGCCAAGGACCCCCAATTCCAGGATTTGAGTTAGGAAGTTCCAGGAAGACAGGAAGAGTTTTGTTACTGTGGCTGTTGTTTTGGTTTTGGTTTACTGATGGGAGTTTGGAGCTATTGGCAGAATCCTGGCCTCTAGGCAGGAAGCAAGCTTCCTGAGAAAAGCAGCAGCCCACTGGGAAGCAGTCTTGATTTGGAAAGTGAAGCTTAATCCCAAGAGCCAGCCAAGCCTGGCTTTTCAGCTACAAGAGTCAATTAATTACCTTCTTGGTTAAACTATTTTGAATACAGATTTCTGTACTTACATCCAAAATATTGATTAATGTACTTTATACCTATGTTTTCACTTAACAAAGTTATTGGTAAGTATTGGGCAGCATTTACCACTATAATGCTATTCTGCATTCCTTGCTAAATATATAATTTTATGCTTCAATGATTAGTCAGGCTGGTGCAAGGCCCTTATGAAAGGAAATAAGACATCCCAATCCCCATATGGAGGTTTACTGAGGGTGTGCCAAGAGCTAGGACAATTTTTTTTTTTTTTCAAAAAAAGGAATTGGCACACACCAGAAGAGCTAAAATGAAAAAAGGCAGTTTTAACAAGTATTAACAAGGAAATGGAGTGACTTCCCACACATAGTTGATGGAAGAGTAGTTTTAGCACCACTTTGGAAAACTGTTTTTCCTTATCTACTAGAGTTGAACACAGTCACACATGTAATACAGTAATTCTACTCCTCAGCATAAAATCAATATATTCACCAAAATATGTGTTTAAGAATGTTTTTATTTGCCTGATTTTAAGGGTCTAAACCTGGAAACAATCCAAATGTTCATCAACCAATAAATAGAACTATCCAAATGTCTATCAAATAATAAACAACGGAATTAACTAAAAAATTGTCATCTAGTGGAATACAGATTTGTAAATAAACAAAAACCACAGCTACACACAATGGTGTGAGTGAATCTCACAAACTCAAATATATAGTCTCATTATTAAAAAACAAGGTTGGGTGTGGTGGCTCACACCTTCAGTCACAGCATTTTGGGAGGTTGAGATGGGAAAATTACTTGAGGCCAGGAGTTTGAGGCCAGTCTAGGCAACAGCAGCAGACCCTGTCTCAACAAAAAATAACAATAATAATAATAATTTTTAAAAATTAGCCAGCGTTGGTGGCACATGCCTGTAGTCACAGCTACTTGGCAGGCTGAGGCAAGAGGATCACTTCAGCCCAGAAAGTCAAGGCTGCAGTGAGTTATGATTGATTGTGCCACTGCACTCCAGTCCAGCCTGGGCAACAGAACGAGACACTGTCTCAAAAAACAAACAAACAAAAATCTTAAAAACAGGCAAAACTATTGATATGAGGAGTCAGTGACTGGGGTGTTAGCCTTATTCTGCTTCTTAACTTGGTGCTGGTTACCTGAGTTTATATACTTTGTATTCACCAAACTGAACTCTTACGAATTATATACTTTTATTGTATGCATCACACTTCAATTTAAAAGAATACTTTAAAAAATTGGTCATTTGCTTGTGTTTATGAACAAATGGGACATCGAGTCTCCAAACTGCTACATTAAGGTTAATGGTGTATTATTTCAGTATAGAGCATTATTAAAGTAAATGTTACCTAATTTTCACCTTGGATATAAAAATTCTCAGTAACATACATGTAGAATATTAACTTCAAGCAAATAAGTTTTCTAGTAAGCACTGTGAGAAACCTGGCTACAAAATGCCCTTCTAAATAACTGAGTTGACTTGCAGAATAGGACTATTTGCTGTAAGCAAGAAAAATGCAGGGAAATATCAAACAAAAATCAAGACCTTAGGTGTACAACCTTAAATTTGAAGGTAACCTTTTTAACACAGCAGCAACCACAATAATGTAACCAATACAACAGACAAGCACAACTAATAATTAAAGCATACACCTTTCATGTTCTTCCCAATGGTCTTCAATTTAGACTCTGAGAATAATCCTCCCTGTCCCTAGATGAAAGGTCCAGCAAAGTTTTTCTGCCCATTTTTCGGTATTAGACAGTCATACTTCCACTTTAAATCACTAACACTGTCTCAGTTCAAGCCTAGAATGCCCAGTCCCAGACATTAACCAAAACACTCTACTGCTATGTGATCAGATGTCAAATCTTCTCCCTTCCCTAGCTCAGGCCCACATCAGGCCAAAAGGCAGCAATGGAAACATAATACGGGTGGCTTCCTCTCTGTTTCTCTGCTATAGCTGATCCCCTACTTTCCCTTGCCAGCTGGGTTCTAAGCATCCAGGGTAAAAGCAGAGAAAAGAGGAAGTAAAGGATGAGAAGGCCATACTCAGTTGACTTCCCACTCCAAGCCTGCTGGCAGAAACTCATGCTGACTTCTCTCTGGGACACTCATGCAGGCCTTTTGGGGCTTCTCCATCTCTAAAGAAACTCTCACTGCAGTTGCTAAGATGCAGGAATTTCTAGGATGCCTGCACCCAATCACCTCTCAGCTTCTGTTTCCTGAGCAATTCGCCCACCACTTTCTCCCGTATAGGTCTCCTCTTACCCTCCAGCAGAAGCTTTCTTGGGCAAAACCCAAAACTCCTCCAGACTGTCCATCTACAGTGCCATGGCACTTTTGCTCATTAGGAGACCCACTTACGGTCCCGAGATAATATTTACACATCCCTTTCCCTGGCAATTAATTACCTGGAGGAGAGAGAGGCTGGTGCCCCAAGGCATCTCTTTCCTACTTCCACATGATGCTTTAGCCTCCTCAACCTGAGTCAGGCACCTGTGTTCTACCTTCCCAACTGTAGAGGGTGGAGAGTTAGCTCTCAGAGTGGCCTTCCTGAAGCACCCTTTCACGAGGTTTGGGGTCCCCTTCATTAACCCAAGAATAAAGGGGGTCCCATAGTGTGCCAACAGCTTTCTTCAAAAGCAAAATGCCATCAGGAAATTCTTCCTCCATTGCACTCCTTGTATTCTTTCTAAATCATTAACAAGCTGAGAGATCCAAGAGCAGCCATACCTATCTTTGACCAATTCCTTTGACAACTCTGAGTATGGAGATCTGACTTTGAAATTGTACTTCTACTGTGCCTTAATAACCTCAACCAAAAACTCAATTTTAACATTGTTATATTCACATTTATTGACCCAAACACTATGCCAAGTATTATTTTACATTATTTTGTTGTAATCTTGTAACAGTTATATAAGGTAGTTTATTGGGTCCATTTTATTACTCATAAAAAGAGAGTAGGTGGCACTGCCAAGATTCAACTTGAAGCCTTGTGACTCTAAGATGCTCTATAACCAGCAGATTTCATATAGCAGATCCAAATGTCTGATAAGGCATACCTCCAGTTTATGACAACAATGTTATGTCATCTGTGTTCAGGAAAATGTTCTACTTTCAGCAATGATATTATTCAATCATGTTAATGTTTTCCCTTACATTAAAATACAAAAGGCAAGAGTACGTTTAGCTCCTTCAAGAGCAATATCATTTTCTTAAACTTTTTTGTGTTTCTGGAATATATCCTTGTACTCTGATTTGTCAAGTTAGCATTCCCACTGGTTATGACTCTTGGACCAGTGTTAATTGCCCTATATAATCACTATCAAATAGAGGACTTTTATTAGGTTATGGAGCTTATCTCATAATAAATTCCTGTATATGGATTAAAAAGCCAACAAAGGGCTAGGCAGGGTGGCTCATGCCTGTAATCCCAACACTCTGGGAAGCTGAGGCGGGTAGATCACTTGAGGACAGGAGTTTAAGACCAGCCTGGCCAACATGGCGAAACCCCATCTCTACTACAAATACAAAAAATTAGCCAGGTATGGTGGCACGTGCCTGTAATCTGAGCTACTCAGAAGGCTAAGGCAGGAGAATCATTGAACCAGGGAAGCAGAGGTTTCACTGAACCGAGATCATGCCACTGCACTCCAGCCTGGGCAACAGAGTAAGACTCTGTCTCCAAAAAAAAAAAAAAAAAGCCAACAAAAAGTCAAAGACAGCTATAAACAATATCATGTTAGTCTCAATTCATTTCTCCACAAAGTTATAAAAATATAAGTAAAAGGATATGTAGATATATACTTGCTATTTATATAAATTCTTGGCCTAAATGTTCAAGCCTTGCCATCTATCAAAAACAAAAGTC